GCTTGAGAATGGGCAGGGGTTAGAGTACATGTAACTCAAAAGAAGCAATGTAGAGGCAATTCCTAAGGAAATGCTCACTAGACCCGCAACGATAACAGGTACTCATCTTTTTCCAACACTCTCATCTATGTTGATTACCACATAACTCACAGTTAGGCATAGGGAAGAAACCTGAAGAGTCACGTCGACTAACTGCTGAGGGTGGAGGTGACGTGGGTCTCGAACCATAATGACTCCTCTGAGGGGTAACATAACGAGATTTCTTCTCAGGATGAGTAGAAGACTCAGATACACCAAAAGGTCTTCTAGACCGCTCTCGATCTACTCTCTCACTAGCAGGAGCCTTAGCTTCAATTTACTCAACATCATTCGTTCTACCAACTAGGGTGCCAAACACCTCATCCTGATGAGTAAAAACTTACTTGCATAACTCATACCTAATTCCCTAAGCGAACTTACGACACTTATCTTTCTCGGTAGGCACGAAGATAGATCCATATTTCAACAACTTCAAGAACTCTATCTCATATTTAGAAACAATCATATCTCCTTGAACAAAGTCCCGAAAATGGTGTCTTCTCTACGCCAGATATTACTCTCCCACGAACTGACTCCTAAAATGCTCCTTAAATAAATCCCATGTCAGACGATCGATCGAAACATTATTCATTACGAACTCCCACCAGGTGTGGGCATTCTCATCCAACATGGACATAACTCCTAGGTATATCCTCTGTTGATCTAAACATATTTGATTTATACACCTCTCAGTATTGCTAAGTCAATCCTCGGCCTCAGTCAGATTTCGACCAGTAGGGCCTGCAAAGGTTCTAACTCTATTCGCAATAAGGGTCTAAGAAATAGGCACCTCGAGTGCAACTCCTACAGCTCTAACCGCACCTTGAATCAGTTGAAGAAACTGTCTACCAAGATTATCATCTAGAAACAACACTAATAATATCGGTCCTAGAATCGATGCTCCTCTAACCGGGGTAGTCAAACCTATACCAGGGGCAGTTGACGTATCTCTCAAATCTAGAGAATCTCTTAGGGCAGGAGGGTCATCTTGAAGCGGCGTGTCTACCGTAGAATCAGTTAACCTAACCAATCGACCCCATACACGGGTAGATCGACAACCTCATCTAGGACTCATCTCAAAGGATTCTCTAGATAAACCACATAAAATAAAACTTAGGTTCAGGTTAAGTACTTGGAGTCTCGTACGCAATAAACTTGTGAAAGACTTGGTGACATGACCTTCAGTATTTGTTTTGTAAAACATTTCAAAACTGTATTTTTACTATGGTCTCATTCACAGTCTGAGGTTTAAAAAATAAAAGTTATGATACCAACCAATTGTAACCTCCTATACTCGGCCTTTGCGTAACGATTAGATCTAGCGGATTATAATAAAAAACAATTTTGAACACTTAAAAACCAACCTCTTTTAAAATATACTTACATAAGAAAAAACTAAAACGAGTAATATAAACCATGAAATATCATCAGTGAAACAAAATACCCATAACCAGTGATAAAATTAATAAATACATCAGAGGCGATAGGAAGCAGGCCATAAAAATCAGTGTATCAAAATAATACGCACATGTCACCCACATGAATGCAGTTCAAAATATTAAAATATTACAATAAAATATTCTATACAGAATGTGTCGAACCTCCAAGTACCGATATAGAAGCCTATTCAAAATATCTAAAAAGGAGAAAGATGGGGGGTGAGCTAGGAAGCTCAGTGTGTCCTAACAGTACAAAGTAAAACTTACACATACTTTTTAGAAAATAATTTAGCAGAGTATCAGAAAAATGTCAGTGAGGTTTTTATTTCAAAAACAGAGAATTACCCTCCAATCGAACACCAAATACAGTTTCCCATAATTGCATCCATAAAGACATACCCTAGGCCTATAGGATTTAGGAGACAACCTAAAAGAGCACCTTGGATCCATAAGGACTTACCTTAGCCAAAGCGTAGGAGCCACCTGATGGGAGTGTTCACAGATCCATAAGTACTTACCACAATGTACAAAACAAATAAACCACTTTATGAGAGTGACATAGGGTCCATAAGGTCTTACCACAATGCACGAAGTAAAGGTACCACCATATGGGAGGTCATAAGGTCCATAAGGTCTTGCCACTAATCTCATTGGACCTAGAAACCCACCCAAGAGTCGTCTTAGGTCCATAAGGAATTAGCAGCTTGATCGTAGCTAAACCAATAGAGCTTCGAGAGTACATCCCAAAACCCTAATAAAAATAATTACAGACAATATTGATAAATCAGGAAATTAGAGGTCGGGCATTTTTTAGTAAATAGTAACCAAAGAACATGTGTCAGTCCAATCAATTTAAAATCAGTAAAATGAATATCAGGTATTCAGGAAATCAATAAACCATAATTAGGCTTTTCAGTCTTTTAAATTGGTCATGTTTCAGATTAGATAAAACATTCATGTGCACATGGTAATTCAGACAGGTATTTAAAAACATATATGTAGCAAACAAAGAACACACCTCGCAAAATGGGTCGGTCTCACTATAATCAAAAGCCTACAAGAACCTAATTCATATCAGAGCAGGGTTACTATCGGAATAATATAATGAACATTTAATAGAGTTACAGAATTATACGCTTAAACATGGCTCACGCGATCGAAAGAAACGAGAAGAGCTGGGTCGAGCAGTCGATGGGTCGGGAGAATCACGAACACCTATCATAATCAAAGTTGTAAATCAATTCTTGTCTTTCCTTTATTTTTCCTTAGACAACTTTAATAAGAGTCGCTATGCAAGTCTGAGTTCAAAGGTTAATTTGGAGTCTTTCAGGATAGAATTTTGTGAAACAGACTTCGAATTTAGACTCAGGACATCACAAAACATAAAAAAAAGTTTTCAAATTTTTTTACTTTTTGGTCAAAGTCAAAGAAAAAGGTGTGGTCAACGTTCAACAGGTATGATCAACGGGTTGACTCAATCAGATTTGACTCTGCTGACTCGACCAAATTGATTCAATTTTCTAGAAACTTCAACAGGACTACTCCCATGTGCGGGGACGACGCGTGCCGGCGTGTGCGACGGGTAATGGGGATAAGGATGACGGCTGAGCGCACGATAAGTAATCAAATATCAACTCAAAAACAATACCAAACTCATCCAAAATACAGATAAATTGCCGAAAAAGCGATCGAGACTCACCCTTGGGAATCGCCATACCACGAAAACAACGATGGATGAGAGTGAAACCGATTGGTTTTTGGTCGGAACGAGACGGGCAACCCGCTGGTGGTGGCGGTGAGGAAAACGAAGCTCGGGATTATTCTGAAAACATGAATACAATGTCAGGTTCAGGGTTTTTCGATGAGGCTTTGGCGGTTGATTAGCGACGAACGATGACCTTAAACGGAGCGATGATGGTTGAGTTTTGACCGGGCTGGGTTGGTTGGTCGATTGGAGTACGCGATGACGGTCACCGTCTAACGACGACGGAGATTAGAGGTAGACCTAAAACGGGGCGACTCTCGATCACGAGATGACGATGGTACTGTTGGAGTTAATGGTCGACCAGAGCTGGAGGAAGGACGGAGCAACGGTGCTGGGGAGATGGGTTTTCTAGGAGTATGGCTCTAAAGCATAAAACCAATTGAGAGATAAAGATGGGGGAAAATTAAAATTAGGAAATAAAGGAAAAGGGGTAATTCACACTTTGAGTCCCTAAACAAAAGAAAGTTTGTAAAACATATCTCAATTTATGAAATTTTCATAAATTGGTCCCTCGAACAATACTAAAAAATTCAGGGTGCGACACTTCAAGCTCAATTAGAAATTTTAAAAAATAAAGTCAATATAAAACATGGGATATAATTTAACGAGCAGTACAATATAACCTTATAATAAATAAATAATGATTCAATTAAAAACCTAACACCAATAAACTGGCAAAACATCATTTGACAATACTACCAGTGTAAATGAATTGAACTTAAACCAACAAGATTATATTCATACTCATTTATTTATTTTTTAAAGTGTTTCTGTTTGGTTCGTTTAGCGTTCACAAGCATGTTCGTTTACATATTCGTTTAGAGTTCACGAACATGTTCATTTTTATGTAACTTCTATAGGCTTTATAATTTGAACTCTAAAGTTTACTATGCGTTCAATTTTGTTTATACATTCAATAATATTTAAAATGCAAAAAAAAAAATAAAGGAAAAGAATAACCAAATAAACTAGCTTTTAAACAGTTTGCACGTGAACCTAAATGAACTGAACATACATTTGTTCTTATCTATATGTTTATTAAATGAATATAAAAAAAAAATTTATGCTCATTTATTTTACTTAACAAATAAATATTATATTAATAATTCATAAACAACACGTCGAACAATCTATTTATTTAAACCTTAACCACTACCTTTCAGGCTCCGATACTGTACATGAGCTCAGTCCATCATTGGAGTTTTAATATGAGCTTCGTTAATCCTACGTACAGGGATAAAATTGGCCTAATAGGTTAGATGGGTAAAAAAATGATCTATTAGGTCATTTTCAAAATTATTTTAAGATTCGCAGCAAATATTACAGTGCAGAAAAATTCATCACGTTTACTTGATGAGTTTATTTAAATAATATTTTTTTATTTAAACTCGTCACGTCAACATGATAAGTTTAAAAAAATATAAAAAAATTTAAAATTTATCACGTCAGAGTAACAAATTCTAATAAAATTATATTTTTTTATTAGAACTCGTCATCCTACATGATGAATTTCAAATCAATGTAACAAATATCATATATGTTAAATTATTAGAGATGATCCAATAGACAATTGTTTTACCCGCATAGCCTATCGGACCAATTTTATACCAACATGCATCTAAGTAATAAGCCCAGACCACGATTAGGTCCAATAGAAGAAACCCAAATGCTGAAAAGCATAGTTCACCACGTTGATTGAAGAAAACAGAAGTAGAACGCCAGAACTTGCTAGAATCCTCTATCATTCAATCAACAAATTTGTTGTTATTTTTATTTCTTTTTTGTCATAAGAAAAAAAGGTAAAGCCGAACCATTCAGCTGACATTAGTAGGAGACAGGGATTCATTTATCGACGGGGAACGGAAAAGGAAAGGATCAGATGCCATGGACAACGACATGATGAACATGGAGGAGGCCGCCGCCGCAGCGCCACCCCACCTGCAAGGACAGAACGATGTCGGTAATGACCTACTCGTATTGGGTCGTAAACTTGTCGATCAAGGCAAGCCTTCTCAGGCTCTTCAAGCGGTAATCTTCATAAAACCTTTTCAATTTCGCCCCCTCCCCCAAAGTTTTCTTCCTCGAATGTTAATGGGATTTGTATATTGTTTGGGTAATCAACGTTTAACGAGTTTCATTAATGTTTGTAAAACTAGAAGCTGTTCCCTTAGCTTCTCGGAACGTTGTTATCACCAAATATGTTACCTTAATTGCTCTGGATATTAAAATACCCCCAGGCGACCTTTTTCCTATTGGTTATAATTTAAGATAAATCATTAGCACGTTGATAGATTAGAATAAAAAACACATTTGGGGAACTATGAATATATATAAAGAACAAAGGGGATTGCTGTGAGTTAGGAATGGTGCCAAAGGAGGCGTGTTTCAAAAAGATTACTTTTTTATAGAAGTTAAGGTTGAAAGCAAATGCTTTTATGTCTTGGCATTTATTTGAGAACCCCAATCATTAGGCAGCCTAAGGAATAAAAAACGGCGAAGCATTTTGGTTTTGGAAGGGAAAGAAACCGAAGATACTTGCTTAGCACTTTTCTTGTTCTTTCCCTTCTTATGGGAGACAATGGAAACACATAAAAAGGGTGTCAACGTAATACAATTTCACATGTTAATTCATCCAAGTGGCTTTTTCTTACACTAGAACAATGGGGTTCTCTTGTTAATTGTGGTCTTCACTGTTTTGTTGCTTCTATCTATGCGAATAGTTTGATGGCATTACTCTAGTAATTTTTGGATTCTAATGAAGTTGGTTCTCTCAGTTTTTTTTACATTTTTCTGATTGTCCTTTCAAAGTTATTACCTTTAGCAGCATATGATATTCATTCAGCCTCGAGTTCCTATCGTTAATTAAATGCCGTTCCACCACTTCTCGCTGTAGGCTTCTGAAGACTGCATTGATGGTACAATTATTGGTGGTAAATAGTGCAAAAATAACCGACTCGTTGACCCGAAACTAAAAAAACCGGGTAATTTTTTAAAAAAGTTTACCCAGTCGGGTCGGGTTTGGGTCACAAAATTGAATTTTTCCGGGTACTCGGTTACCCGAGTACCCCGTTAAGGTACCCCGTTAAGGATTATTTTATATATAAAATAATATTATATTATTATATATTTAATTATTAATGATATATTATTATATATTATATATATAATAATATATTATTATATTATTAATTATTAATAATATTATATTATTTATTTATTTATTTATTTATTTATTTATAATATATATATATATATATATATATATATATATATAATTTGTGTGTGTTTTTAATTAATAATTTGAAAAAAAAACTCGGGTATCCGGGTACCCGCAAAATCCGGATACCCGGTAACATCCGGGTCGGGACACGAGCCGAGAAATCAATTACCCGAAGATCCGGGTACCCGATTTGTACCTTTCCCTTGTTATGCTGTCAGCATTAATACAACTGAATACAAGCTATTAGTTTAAGTTGGGTGACTTGGATCCACTAGACTAATGAGTTTTCAGCATTTAATCCTATTCTTGAGCCACATCTGATTAAAGAACACTTCTCATTTAGGGCTATATCATATATCTTTTCAAGACTTGACCGGCACAAAAGTATTCATCATGCATTTTTTTGAGTTATAATTTAGACATGCATGCTGGACCTTCTTGTTACTCCTATTTATTCTCTGCTTATATGTGATGGAACAGGTGGTGATGGCCATGAGAACTCGAGGCGGTGATGAAGCTGTATTTCAGTCATTGTATCGTGCTCGCAAAGTGTACAGAACTAGAATGCAAGAAAACACCAGTGTCGATCAGCTGGCTTCTCTGTTTGCTGAGTGTGTGATAGCTGAAGCCCAGCCGATAAAAGCAGAATCATTACCATGCGCCACTGACGTTCCACCAGTTGCATCAACTTCCATTCTTGCCGAAACAGGCAGAATGCAAATTGTATTGGATGCATTCTCCGATGGAAGCAGCTTTATCTGTTTGCAGTGTGGCGGTCTTGTTAGTAATCATCGCAAAGATGAGCATTATGCATATTGGTGCGGCCATATGTAAATTTGCTCACTTTATAGACTTCTTGCAATGCGCTTGTTCACGAGAAGTCATGTCTGCCTTGTGGAATCGGCACAGCTGCAATTGGTGTACCACCTTTGACAATCCGTGTAGATTGTAGTCCGTTTGCCAATCTAAGGCGAAGCAAATATCTTTCTTTGCTAAGAACTAGGATACTGTACTCCAGCATTGATAAGGTTTATGTCACAGAATAAGTTTGAAATTCGATGAACTGAACAATGATGTATCAAAACCGTGTATCATATATACTATTGTACCAAAGTTTGAGATATACTGTTCCTTTTTATCTATGAATTATGTTTCATATTTCTACATAAGTTAAGGGTCATATTGGATTTGTTTTTTGAGTTGGAGGGTAACGTGAGAGAATAATACGAGTTATATTACTTTTTTAAATACAGGAGATTTTTTTTTTAAATAACAGGGACTTCTAATATTTTTTTGCCTTTATAATATTAAAAGAACATCCTTTACATGCAGACGAGTTGAAGTTGTTTAATCAAACACAAACAAGCTTTATCATAAGAACAATAAACCTGTAGTTGTTCAAACTTTGCTGATAACTTCATTGCTTGCTCTTTTTGTGCATTTTGATATCCTTAACCAAACGGTCTATGTCATTATAAGATGAATTGCCTTGTTCGATGGATTTCTTTCCTTGTTCCCCAAGCCTTTTGGCTCTTTTTCTCATATCCATGGACTCATCTGTATTCCTCATTACTGCATTAATGGGCATGAGAATATCATTCCTGGTTTTTATGTTTGGTGAAACCTGGGTTGCCCATACTTTCCAAACCTCATTCCCAACTGACACTCAACTTTCAGCACTTGAGTCACCAGCTTTTCATTGTAGAATTGTTCGGGGAAAATCGGCCATGTGACGAAGGGTACACCGGCAACAACCTTCTAGTATAGAGTTCCACCCGCAGTGCGTTAAGAAACTTCCCATGGCTTTATGTTCAAGAATTAACGTTTGAGGTGCCCACCCTCTAATGACTAAACCTTAACCGTTTTCCTTCACTTTCTCTTCGAATTCTTTGTTGAAAGTTTGACTGCACTTTCGGTGCAGTGTTGAAAAATTGGTAGGCACCGAATTCGGTGCAGAAATTGTGGAAAATTTGGCAATGGTAAAATTGTAACTTTAGTCATTATACTTTAGGATATTTACAAGATTAGTCATTAAGCTTCAACTATAAATACCCTATTCCATTTAGCTTCAAAACCATCTCAAATCATTCTAGCTTTCTCCCAATACTAGAGAATTTAGAGAGTTTTCTTGAGAGTTGTTTTCTCCTTTTTATCAAGAGAGAATTATCATTGTTTTCTCCTTGTTAGATCGAAAGAAGTTGTAATTCCTATTTTCTCATAGTGAAATTCTTTTACCATTACTCGTGGTTTTTACCCTATGTTATTTAGGGGGTTTCTACGTAAAATTTGTGTCCTCTTTATCTCTATTTTTTATTTTCTCAAATTATCAGTTGTAATTTTGCTCTATTCGATAGCTGTATTTTGTAACAATTAGTATCAGAGCCAGATTAGAATGTGTAATATCTACTTATTGTCTTTGTGGTTGCCACCAAAAGGTGAATCCTCCAACATAAGAAAGTAAGAAGTTATTACATATTCTTTGAAGGTTCCATAGAACTATTCACGATAGTGAAATAGTGGGAGTTATCCGTAATAGAAGCTATGACAACGAAATTTGACATTGAAAAGTTCAATAGGAGAAATTTCTCATTGTGGAAATTAAAGATGAAGGTCATCCTGAGGAAAAACGGTTGTCTAGCAGTTATCAGTGAAAGGCTGGTAGATTTCACATATGACAATAAATGGATCGAAATGGAGGAGAATGCTATGGAAAACTTTCATCTAGCATTAGCAGATGAAGTATTGTCAAGCATCGAGGAGAAGAAAACAACTAAGGAGATATGAGATTATCTCACCAAATTGTTCGAGGCCACATCGTTGCACAATAAAATTTTCCTTAAGAGGAAATTGTACACTCTCTGTATGTCAGAACCTACTTTAGTGACAAAGCACTTAAACACACTGAACACGTTATTTTCTCAGCTTACATCCTTAAGATGTACAATAGGAGAATAAGAACGTGTTGAACTTCTACTTCAAAGTCTACCTGATTCGTATGATCAGCTCATCATCAACTTGACAAACAGTAATGTCACAAGTCTAGTCTTCGATGACGTTGCAGCTGCTGTTCTACAAGAAGAAAATCAGCGTAAGAACAAGGTAGACAGACAAGTAAATCTGCAACAAGTAGAAGCGTTGACAACGATGAGAGGGAGTTCAATAGAACGTGGCCAAAGCAGTAGTCACAAACATAGTAGATCAAAGTCGAGAAGCAAGAAGAATTTAAAGTGCTACAACTGTGGAAAGAAAGATCACTTGACGAAGGATTGTTGGAGTCTAAATAAAAACTCCAATCCACAAGGCAATACAACAAACACTTCAGATGATGGAGATGCTCTGAAGCGTTAACCACCGTGGAAGGTATAAAAAGTTTTACAGATATGGGTAGTTGCTAATGATTTTCACTCGAATCGGATCTTTTGCCTTAGAGATCGTTGGTGTGAGAACCATCAAATTGAAGATGTATGATGGAATAACTTGTTCGAGATGTGTGACTTGAAGAAAAATTTATTATCCTACGGATTGTTGGATAATAATGCAAGCAAGATTGAAACACGGAAATGAATCATGAAGGTGTTCCGTGGAGCGCTTGTGATGATGAAAGGAGAAAATATAGCAGCAAACTTGTACATGCTGAAGGGAGAGACTTTGCTAGAAGCTGAAGTCTCTGTTGCCTCATGTAGTTCGAATTCTGCAATGCTATATGTAATACCCTAATTTTTTCCGGCCTTTTAAATCCATTTGAAGATGATCGAGAATTAATTTAAAGATATTTGTGATCGATGAGAAATTAATTTGAATGACATGGGGGCATTAATGAATGATGAATGGAGCTTGTGTTTGGGTTAATATGAAAATTGAGGAACTTTAGGTGCTTAATTGGATTGTAACCATACATGTTAGAATTCGAGATATAAATCGCAATTGAAGCTCAATCCAAATTTAAGTGTCTAAAGTCCATTTACATCTTTGAAGTCCGATTATAAGCCAAATTAATTACAAGCTCAATACCCAGTGCCCAAGTTTGACCCGGTCACAACCCGACCCGGTTCTAGAGAATCACTCGGTCACCAGCTGTACAGCCCCCACGTGAAGCACGACAACCAAGCAACCCTGCCTCCCACGTGCAGCTCGGCTCCCCAGCAGCCCATGCTGCCCACGTGAAGACCCCATGCCCATGCTCCAATGTAGCATCATAACCAAGCTGGTGCCATTTCCAACCTCGGCGTGGAGCACTACACCTGACAGCACCAACCACACCCCGAGCAAAGACCCATGCTGGTGTCATTTCTAAACCATGGCGTGGAGAACCACGCCCAAAAACACTAATCGTTCCCATACCCTGCAATGTCACAAATCAAGGCAGAGAAAAAGCAATTAAAAAGAAGAACCGAAGAAAAAAAAAGAGGATATTCAACACAATGGGGGGTCACGAACAGCAGGGGTGGAAAAAAGAAATCAACCAAAATACCAAAAAAGAGCAGTCAGTTATCATCGAAGAGAAAAGACAGTAAACATGCATCAACGGAAAAAAAACAGTAAGCACATCAAAAGCCATTATTAACCAGAAAACGAGGGAGAAAAGAAAAATAACCATTAGCAGTAACTAAAGATCCGATTCGAGTGAAAATCATTAGCAACTACCCAAATCAAGAGCAAAAAATAAGAACATCCCATATAGCAAAAGAAAAGAGAAGAAAGACCAAGCCAACAACCCTTACCTTCCCTGTAGATAGAAGTTCGCTATGGCCCAGGAGTAAGACTGCCCTAAACCACCCAAGGTAACTCCTTTTTGACCTTACATCTGTGGTTGTTGTAGGGGTTTGACAGGGGTCTCTATTGGTTTTGGGTTGTGAGTTTAGGGTTATGAGAGGGTGGGTTTCTGGTTAGGATTATTCTAGGGGCTTATGGGTTTCTCGGCGGAGCCTTGAGGGGAGAAGAAGAGTAATGGTAGCAGTGAGGGACTGTCAGTGGGTTTTTCGGGAAGTTTGGGTAAATCTCGTGCTAGGGATGGGTTCTAGGTAAGTTTCTAGCCATGGGTGTTCAACGGGGCTTGTGGGTTTTTGTCGGGGTCATTTGGAGGTAGCAACCACGGTGGTTGCTACGGCGTAGGCCCGAGTTTTGCGTAGGGTTAGGCGAAGAGAAGAGGGAGAGAAATAGGAGAACGACGAGACTGTGTCTGGCTAGGGTGAATGAGAGAATGAAATTAGGACTCAAAATTTACCCTAATATACCATAATTACCACGTCGAAACGGCGTAGTTTCACAGAGGTGTGAAACGGCAGCGTTTTAATAGATAGGGGGAATGCACGTTTTAGGAAAAGGGGGTAATAGCTATTTAGGCCCTGATAGCTTTGGTTCATTTCATGTTGGTCCTGAAACCGAACTTCATTGGATTTTGATTTAGAACCTTAACTTTTTATGTATTTCATTTTAGTCCAGTATCATGTTAGGATTGTTTTTTCGATTGTTTTACTTTGGATGTGTAATTTGGGAAACTTTCATTTTGGTCCTATGTAGCACTTTGGTTCTATTATGTTTGGAATATCTGGAAATGAAATTTTTATGAAAATAGCATGCTGTTTACTTTCTTTATATTTTTAAATAATCGAATATTCTTTATCTTTCTAATGGCTTGGTAATTTTAATTAAATCTATTTTGTTGCTTTTGAATGTTATAAAATTTGTATTTTTGTTGTTTTAAGGGATCATAAATCAAATTAAATTCGAACTTGTGAAATTCGTTGCAAAGACATTAATTAATCGACTAGGAACTGATTTTAGGGCGTTGTGGGGGTGCTAATCCTTCCCCACTCGTAACCGACTCCCGAACTCATTTTCTGGTAACACAGACCTCTACTTGTCATTTTAATTAAAATGAATTTTTATTTAAAATGGAAAAATGTTTTTGGGTTCCCAATCATACCCTAATCAATTATTGGCAGTGAGTCCTCAAACCGTATGTGTTTTACCGTAAATGAATTTCCAAATTTTCGAAACGAGAGATTTTCTAAATCACATTCACTTTTAATTAAAAATCAATCATAATTAAAAATGATGTGGTTTTCAAAAATCTCACTCGCGCTCCCCTTTGGGAAAAAAACCATTTCGACAGCTTGGCGA